GGAGAGAATTTGAAAAAAAAAAACTGATTTGAAGAAAACATATTTTTTGTCTTTTTTTGAAAAATATGGAAAAGTGCAAAATCTTTTTTGATTTTTATTCATTTTCATTTTATTTTTTTGCTCTTTTTTTTTTGAAAAAGTTGTGAAAGAAAAAAAAAACTAGGCCTACTTGCTTCATTTTTATACTTCGCCCTCTTTTCTTTCTCATTTGCCCTCAACCATCATTGGTCCGCCAAATAACCCCTTTACCCATAAAGAATGCAGCATATAGCACATAGGGATGATTAAATGTCTTTTTGGGCCACGGGCCCACTTTAACATAATTGGACAAGCCACAGTGCCTGGGACCTAGCCCTACTAGGTCTAAATGACATGATACAAATAAGAATGACCTAAAGGCTGACTTACGTTTGGGGTTCACTAGACAAAGCAATTCGGGGCGGCACGTGGTCGATGGCGGCTGCTCTAGTTGTCCGCCCATTCCATGCTCTCATGCCATCCCCCTAAAGACACGGATGACTCACGAAAAGGCTGTGTACACTCAAACGTACTCCGAAAGACTTGTAGCAAAAAGAAGACCCATGGTTATGTAAATGATGACAATTTATAAATCAGTAAACACATAATGAAAAGCGATAAACAAATAAATAACAAAAAAAGGAAATAAAACAAACAAAACAAAGAAAATAAAGAAAACAATCACCTCAATCGAATATTCTAAAAAGCTAACAAGATCAAGTATCAGCTCGAACCTGCAACTCCCCAGTAGAGTCGCCAAAGCTGTCACACCCCTTTTTACACCTTAACTCCTTTAAAAAGATAAGCAGATTTTAAAGCTCAAAAGGCTTTTCAATATGAAAGTGACAAAAGATTGTGTGTCAAAGGATTTTTTAGAGTCACCACTTGGCATTTGGTTTCGGTGTGCCAAATCACCGTTTAAGAAAATGATTTTCCTTCAAAAAACATTTGACTCTAAAAATTGCTAAACCAGAGATTCCAAGTAAGGGGGTTCATTTGACTCGGGGAGAAGGTGTTGGGCATTCCCCGAATCCTGTAACTAGTACAGTTGCGTACTTGATCAAGTTGGCTTTAAAGAGTATTCTAATTGAGGCAAAAACACACAAAAATAAAATAAACACACAAGAAAAGAAAAGAAAATAAGAAGAAAATACTAAAAGTCTACACTTGACAGCAAATTACACTAACAAAGAACTAAGGTGATTTACTACTTGACAGCACATTACACAAAATGATATCATCAAAGTCTTCACCAAGATTCAGATATAGTGTAACAGAAAATTCTAGTACAGATAATGATATTAAATTGTGAAGCATTTAATTACAACTAGCAAACCTCTTAATCCAAATGACTGAAAATGCTTTTCATTCAACTAAAAATAACTATGACATTGAGAACTAGTTGTAAATAACAAAAACCTCTTTACCTCATTTTAATTCCAACAAAGTACTTATTTATGAGGAAAACTATCAATCAAGGCTTCAACCACAGCAAAATTCCAAAATATTAGAAGTATAAAAAAAAGGAACGAGATATGACTAAAGGGATGTATAATGAGCCTCACTTCATGATCATTTTACCCATTTATTATGAAGAAATAATATGAGGAACATTTCTAGTTTTTAAAAAATAAGAAACTAAATAAATAAATATAAAATCCTTTCAAAGAGCTTAGAGCAATTTCCAAAGAACCTAACTAGATCATGGATAAAAGTGACACATAGACCTTTGAGTAAATCAACTTATGTCCATTTTGTGATTTCAAAAGATGCAAATCAAAATTTTCACGCTAGTTCTGTGTTATTAAAGGCAAATACTATTACTCACACTTGTTGAACACTTAACAATCGCACGCAAATTTTAACAAAGACACAGAACCAAGCATTAGAGTAAAAAAAACTAAACACAACTAAACTGAACCATAATTGATGAAAGTTCAACACTATGCAAAATTTCCAAAACAGAAGAACCTAATGATTCTGACTCAGTTTTTAATAGTGATTTAGTACATAAACGTACCAAAGCAGGAACCAACACCCGTCTATATCATGTGTAATTCAAATCCCCATCTTAAAATGGCTCTTCCAATGCTTGGATTCACAATAGTAACAACAAATAAACAAAAGAGTGTAGAGATGAACCTGAGAAACGTGAATTTCTTCTTTTAGGAAATTCGCCTACAAAACTTTGAATCCAAAATTCCAATGAAAAGAAAACAACGACAAGAGTCGAATAGGAATCGCGAACCCGGACCGAAAAACTCGAACGGCGATCAACCACGGTGGCAAATTCGAAACAACCTCTGCTGAATCAGATTCCATATTTGAAACCCAAGTCAAATAAGAAGAAGAAGAAGCTCAAATATTTTTGTGTATTTTCAATTTTTTTCGAAATGTAAACAAAACTCGAACAAGAATCTAAACTTAAACTACATCCGAAAATAAGAGTATTTATAAAAACTCTCGAAATTTCTATTCTTCTCCTCCAAGAAATCCAAAACGTTTTTTCAAATTTGCGAGAACTCCCCACAAAATCAAAATTTACTCTTCTAGACTAAATCTGGACAAATAGAAGGATAGGATTTAAGGCTCAAATCCTATGTCTCCCATTGATCCAAAATCCGTCCAAGAGAAATCAAAAACACGTGGGGTGAGGTTGAAGAATATTCGATTGTCAGAAGTTTGTTAGGCTACGTGGAAGAAAGATATGAGGGGGACCACGTAAGGGAGTGNGGGTTTGTGGAAGATATGGGTTTTATATGGTTGGGGGATTTAATATTGACCATTGGATGAGGAGATAATGAATGGCTAGGATTTAAGTAGATTGGGTCCGGTAGGACAGCGGGGTCACGAGCTCAAATGATTGATGGGTTAATTGATATTGGGCTCAGCTTGTGGGAGTTGGGTTGGGTCTATGTCTTGTTGGATTAAAATTGGGCTAAAAATCAAAATTTATTAACTAAAGATCCAAATGTTCTTCTACAATAATATAAAGCACCTATAAAATATAAAATTATTCCTAATTAATTAAAATAAACTATTAAAGATAAGACTAAGTATTAAAAAAAATGAAACTATTTTTGGGTTTTCAAATTTATGTTTTGAAATTAAAATTGAATATAAAAATAGACTGAAATTCTATTAAATAAACTCAAATAATATTAAAAATACTAAAAATAACTTTTAAAATTCATTCGGGTAAAAAATTATGTGCTTACACCTTTGATATACCTTACCACTCGTAATGCAGCTTCCATGTGTGACTGTTTTGGTTTGTGCATATATTGACTTCACTACATAAGCAATGTCACCTCTAGTCATTGTAAAGTAGAATAACCTGCCTATTAGTCTTTGGTATTTTCCAGCAGCAGGCAGTAACTTATCTTCTGTTTCAGAAAAGGATCGATCATGAACAAACCTGTCATATTCTTCATATGTGAGTTTTACATTTGCTTCCAAAGGTGTACCAACTTGTTTTGTACCACTGAGCCCCATTTATGCAATGAGTTCCAAAGCATACTTCCTTTGGCTCATCACAATCCCCTTAGATAATCTAGGAAACTCAACTCCAAGAAAGAACTTGAGTTCACCTACGTCTTTCATTTTCTGAAAGAATCAACGTTTGGCTACTCCCAGTTACAAGCAAATCATCCACATAGACAAGCACCACTATTATCTCATACTCCACTTTCCTGTTGGTTAGTGAGTAGTCAAAGTAACTCTGAATGAAGCCAAGCTGTAGTAAAGCATATGTTAGATTTTTATTCCATTACCTAGGAGCTTGCTTAAGTCCATATAGGGACTTATGAAGTTTGCAGACACGGTGCTCCCCCCCCCCCCCCCCCGGGCTAGCAAACCTTGGAAGAACCTCCATGTAAACTTCTTCAAGTAAGTCTCCTTGGAAAAAAGCATTGTGTACATCCATTTGAAAAATTGCCCAATGTTTGGCTGCAGCAATGGCTAGAACAGACCGACTGTAGCCATTTTGGCTACAAGAGAAAAGGTCTCAGTACAGTCCAACCCTTCCCGCTGGCTATACCCTTTGGATACAAGCCTAGACTTGTACCTTTTTACTGCACTTGGGGAGGTATATTTGACCTTGAACGCCCATTTACAGCTAATAGGAACTTTCCCATGAGGAAGATCCACTACTATCTAGGTGTGATTGTCCTCCAAAACTGATATTTCACACTTCATTGCCTCAATCCACTTTTCATCTTTTACTACTTCATTATAGGTTTTATGTTCCACAATAGCTGAGTAAGCAGCTAATGCAGCTCCAAAGGAAGGGGACATATTGGCATAGCTGACATAGTCTGATATAGGATAACAACAATGTGCACTCCCTTTGCTAGGAACAATGTAGTCTTTCATCCATATGGGTGGTCTACTCACCATGATGGACTTTTTATTGTCATATAGTGGCTCAACATCAGGAGCTATGGTAGGAGCAAGAGCATCATTGATTGTGGCATGATCAATAAGACCACCAGCAGATGAAAGATGAATAGAAGACATAGCTAAATTAGAAGATACGGGAGAGGAAGAAGAGGAAAGAGGTGTGGACAAAGCAGGTGGAGTCCATGAAGCATCTGCATGAACAGTTGAGGAAATAGTAGTAAAATCTGGAATAGGGAATAAGGTTGAGCTAGTAGAACTCTCGTGCTGAAAAAAATACATCCTCTTGAAATACTATATCCCTGTTGATGTGAAATTCTTTTGTATGAAGCCCAAACATCTTATATCTCTTCTGTGTAGCAGAATAACCTAGAAAGATTGCAGGATATGCTTTGGGAGAAAATTTATTAGGTCTTCTAACTGTAGTCACATATCCCAAGCATCCAAATACTCTCGTGTGCTGCAGAGAAGGTGAATGACCAAACATAATCTCAAAAGGAGATATTTTGTGAAGAATGGTTGAAGGGAGTCTGTTAATAATGTACACAACAGTATTGACACACTCTCCCCAGAACCTTAATGGTACTGAGGCCTAAAATCTGAGTGCTCTAGCAATCTCCAGAATATACCTTTGTCTTCTTTCAGCAACTCCATTTTGTTGTGGAGTGTAGATACATGAGCTCTAATGTATAATTCCCAGGGATTGTAACAATGTAGTCATATGTGAGTTAAAGAACTCACATCCATTATCAGATCTAACAAAATTAACAGAAGCTGAGTAAAAATTCTTAATCATAGTGAACAAAGATGTAAGAACAACAATAACCTCAACTTTAGTAAGTAAAAGGAAGAGCCATGTATACCTAGAACAATCATCCACCAAAGTCAAGAAATGCTTCTTTCCATCATAGGTAGGGATTCTGTAAGTACCCCAAACATCATCATGAATCGTGTGAAAGCAAGATTTAGACAAGGTAGGATTAAGAGGAAATAATAGTCTTGTCTGTTTAGGTAAGGCATATTGTACAATGCCTGGCTTTACTACTACATTCAGCAACTTGAAAATCATGAAAACCTTTCAGTTTCTGCAAAGTATCTAGAGGTACATGACCTAACCTCTTATGCCATAAAGCTACATTCACTACCTTATTATGAGCCTTTATTATATTTACAGTGGGCATTGCACTCGGAACATTCAAAGTTTCTGCAATTGTACTTTGAGCTTGTAGTGATATTGACTTATTTGAAGTAGAGTTGAACACATACAGTCCATCTTCCTCTCTACCAATCCTCCTCACTTGTCCACTGAAGAGATCCTGAAAAATGAAGAAATCAGTGAAGAACATAACAACCCACCTCATTTCCTTTGTGAGCTTGGACACATATAAAAAGTTATACTTGAAGTCAGGAATGTGCATCACATTATACACTATAGATCCTTAAGAATGTAAGCAGACCCTATGTGACTAACATGAGCTACACTACCAGTAGGTAAGCGAACTTTTCCACCTTTACCACCAACAGTTTTAGCATTAACCAACCAACTAGAATCATTCACCAGGTGACTTGAAGCCCCTGAGTCTACAATCCATTTGGCCAGAATTTTAGTAATATCACCACATAATGGCATAATTGCTGCCATAGCAGAACCACTGCACTTAGGTTGCTTTTCTAAAAGTTGAAAAATCTGACTGTACTGCTCTTGAGTAAATTGAGGAATTTTAGTTTGGAAGTTTTGACTCGCTTGTTGCGTCTGTGAGGTTCCTAAAAAATTAGCAGTAGGTCCTGCTTGTGCAGGGCCAGTGGAAGTATCAGACACATAGTTGCTAACATTGGTCTGAGCATAGTTAACTGTATACCAAATCCACCCTTCTTCTTTGGCTTAAAAACTAGTAGATATCCATTTAGTTTGTCACAAGTTTCCCTTAGTATGACCTTTGAAGTTGCAATAATCACAATGTAGATTGTTTTCTCTGGGTCTGTAGTTGGGACCTGAGCGATTTCCACCTCTAGAATGACCATAGCCAGCACTTGCATTCGTTTTGCTACTGAACAAAGCTGTCACCTCATTTTCCAAGAAGCTATAATTTTGCTCAAGGTTTTCTTTTCCATTCAGCTGAACTGGAGCTCCAGAGGATGTTCCCTTATTACTGAACAAGGTTATGCCTTCATTGATTTCAGATACTTGAGAGGAATGGGACATTGCTCTTCTACTTTCTTCTGATATAATCATTGAGTAAGCTTTGTTTATGGAGGGACTAAGAGACATGTTCAAGATATGATTGCTTGACTGAGAGTATGTCTCATTTAGGCCTATGAGAAACTGTAGTAGCCTTTGGTACTCAAAGTGCTCAACATATTTCTTTGACTCTTCATAGCCCCACCCAGGGCAGGGCATAAGAGCATCAAACTCTACCCATATGTCCTTCAATTTTGAGAAATAAGCCGACATAGATGAAAGTTCTTGAGTCAAGGTTATAATTTGTTTATGCAGATGTAACACTCTAGAGCCATTAACTTTGTCAAAATATCTCTTTGAGATCCATCCATACCTTGTGAGCACTAGAAGCATAGACCATGCCACTCAACAATTCAGCACTCACAGAATTCATAATCCCCAATAGAAGTATAGCATTACATTTTTCCCAAAGTCCGTGAAGAACAGGAGGAAACTTCTCTTTTGGATACCTTCCATCTACAAACCCTAGCTTACTTTTTTCTAACAAACTAACTCGCATAGTGCTACTCCACAGTGTAATTCTAAGGTATTTTTGTTTATACATTTGGATATAGAAGACTTTATAATTTCATATTTTAATAGACAAGGAAGAAAAATAATGTTTTAATATACATAAAGAAGGAGAGTAAAATTAGGATATACATTTTGATATATGATATATATTTATTGGCTACTTGATGCCAATAAATGAAAAATTAATTAATTCTAGCGAATTAGTAGGTTAAGTTGAGACACGGCGCCACATTCCTTTTATTTTTCTTGGGCTTTTAGTTTTAGTTCCAAAATGAAAATCAACAAGATATATGGACCGTCAATGGTCAATCGAATTTAGGATCTGATCCAGTTTCTTTTTTGGGGGAAAATATCGTATGCCAATCCATAGCAACTCTGAGTACCTAACTATAGACATGGGTACTTGGGCTTTGGCGCACGGTGCTGGGAGATCTGATCCATTATTTAACCTTTGTCCCTGTTTTAGAAATTTGTGCGGAAACCACCTTCAGTTCTTTGAAAAAATTTAGACTAAAATACCAGCTTTAGATAGTTCATGCACAAAGGCGGATCCAGAATTTAAATTCTATGGGTTCAACATTTATATTATTAGCATTGAGTTTATTTTATTTATAAAAGTTATGAGTTCATATAGAATCTTTTACAATTTAGTGAATTTTTGTACATAATGTTCCGCGTCGAAAGTAGTGGGTTCAAATGAACCCGGCAATAATATGCTGCATCTGCCTCTGTTTACGTATCTTTCTTGGGTAAATTTCATGAGGGGAGATGTAACTGGAGAATGGATGAGTAAATAGGCCAGTTATATATATATATTAAAGAATCCTATTTATGTAAAAGTTTGTAAAACGGAAACAAATATTACATACAAGGCTCCTGCCATCCTTGAGCATATTTTGGGTTAATCCTTTACTAAATTTCAGTAAGAGAAATTTTCATAAAGCACTATCTTTTAGTGGTAATTAGCTATTTATAAATATCATTTGTTATATTAGGGATTGTAGATACGTCTTCTGTTGTTATAAGATGTACTGGATGTATTTAAGCTATTGTATCCATGAATACAATAGCAAAAATAGGCGTGAATCAGGGAAGTCCAGTTAATCAGTTGTTGTATTTGAGTGTATTCGACTGTATTCATGGAATGAAACATGAGATTACAGCTGGACAGATTATTGTATTTGACTGTATTTACAGCGTGAAACAGGGGAATACACTGTTTTTAAACGGAAAGTGAATCAATTAACATAATAGACTCCTAATATAACTCAACAAACTCAATTATAACACACAAATTTTGTATTTCCAGTTATAAAAAAGATTCTCAACCGAAAAATACCCAAAAAATCTATCAATCTTCAGAGAAATTATATAATACATTTGAATACAAAAATTATATTAATTAAAAAAACATATGAATACATCCATGGCATATAGCGAGACAGTGAATACAATGAAAAACATAGAATACAGCGGGATACATTGAAATACAATAAGAAAAGACATTGAATACAATAAAATACATGGAATACAACGAGATACATTGAATTACAATGAAAAAAAGGACAATAAATACAATGAAATATATGAAAATACAACCTGATTGTGACGACCCGACCAGTCGACTCATAAGTTACCGTTTTGTTTTCCCCCATTTCAGCTACTTTACGCTTCGTTATCCGTGTTTTATGTGATCGGGTTGATTAGTTTGAGTTCAGAGAGGATATTGGTAAGAAATGAGACACTTAGTCTCTTTTAAGAAGGCTTAAGTTGGAAATGTCAACCGGATGTTGACTTATGTATTAGAGGGCTCGGATGTGAGTTCTGATGGTTCGATTAGCTTCGGGAGGTGATTTGTGACTTAGAAGCGCGATCGGAATGGGTTTTGGAGTTGTAGAGAAGATTAGGCTTGAATTGGCAAAGTTGATAGTTTGGCGATTTCCGGTTGATAGGCGAGATTTTGATATAGGAGTCTGAAAGGAATTCCGAGAGTTGCAGTAGCTTCGTTGTGTCATTTGGGATGTGTGTACAAAATTTCAGGTCATTCGGGTGAGATTTGATAGACTTTTGATCGGAAGCATAATTTAAGAGTTCTTGGAGTTCTTAGGCTTGAATCCCATGTTAAATTGGTGATTTGATGTTGTTGTGAGGGTCCTGAGGTTTTGAACAAGTTTGAACGATGTCATGGGGTGTGTTGGTACAATTGGTTTGAAATTCCAGGAGTCCGGGTAGGTTCCGGGATATTTTAGGCCAAAATCAAAGTTGTAGCAGGTCCAGAAAGGTTGTAGGCCTCGGAACCCACCCGCGCGGACCGCACAAAAAGAAGTGCGGCCGATGTATGTGTTGTGCGGACCGCACAAAATGAAGTGCGGCCACGGTAGTTTTGTGCGGGCCGCGGTGGTTTTGTGCAGACTGCAGTGGTTTTGTACGGACTGTGGAGGTTCTGTGCGGACCGCGGAGGTGGAAACCTGTGGGGTACTCTATAAATACGAGGTTTTGGGTTTTATTTGATATTTTGACCTAGAGAGCTCGGATTTTGACTATTTTTCGAAGGTTTTTCTAGAAATTCATCGGGGTAAGTGATTCTAACTCAGATTTAGCTAGAGTACATAAATCTATCATTGAATTCATCATTTAATTCGTTATTTGGGATGGAATTTGGGAAGAAAATTGTGAAATCTTTCAAAAATGTAAAATGATGTTTTGAATGACCAAATAGTATCGGAATTGAATAATTTTTATATGGTTAGACTCGTGGGAGTATAAGGATTCTAGTTTTATAAATTTTGTCAAATTTCGAGATGTGGACCCGGGGGTCAGGTTTGACCAAATTCTGGAATTTTGTGGCAATTCGATTGTTTTCGCTTGGGCTTTGTGCCCTTAGCATATTGTGACATATTTGTTCTGATTTTGGATAGATTCGACGCGCGTGGAGGCCGTTCGAGGGGCAAAGGCGTCGCGAGTTAGAGATTTAACCGGTTCGAGGTGAGTAATGATTGTAAATGATGTCCTGAGGGTTTGAAACCCCGTATTTGCACATCGTAGTGCTATATTGAGGTGAGACACGCGCTGGATGATGAGCGTGGGGTCTTTTACTACTGGGGATTGAGACTTGGTCTGTCCCGACTGATGATTTTACCATGTATTTGACCGAAACTTATTTGTTATCATCATGATTTGGGCTAATTGCCATATTTGGGCTTTGTGCCCACTATTTGAACCCTTCGGGGATTTTGACTGCTTTTCCTCACTATACTTGTTAAAAATCATATCCTCAGTCATGTTTCTATCTATTTTAAATGATTCGAGCTGGTTTTATCAAACTATTCCTAAACGAGAGGAATTTGTGGGCTGAGATCCCTATCTTCTGTTATTGTGCCCGAGATGTTGTGAGGTTAATGACTGAGAGGGGTTGAGAACTCAATGGTGAGGATATTATATATGTTATGGATTGGGTTACACGCTGCAGCAATACTTATATGGATCGGGTGCACGCCGCAGCAATATAGCGCTTGGGCTGTAGGAGCCCCTCTGGAGTCTGCACACCCCCGGTGAGAGCAGTCGACTATCTATATGGATCGGGCTACACGCCGTAGCGATGTACGGATCGGGATGCACGCTGCATCGGTTATTCTGATTGCTGTTATTATGAGAGATATATGGGCCAAGAGCTGAGAGTGAGCACTAGTGATGAGAGTGAGCCCGAGGAGCTGATACTGTTCTGAGTGAATGATACTGTGCCCGAGGGGCAGATTTCTACTCGTTAGTTACCTGCTAAATTACATGTTTTACCTGATTTAAAGAGATTTCACTATATTTCTTCACTGATTCACTGCTTTACGTGATTTATTTTTACTGCTTTGATATAGAATTGCTTTGTGACTTACGTGTTTCCATGCTTTCAGCCATTATTTATAATCATTACTCACTGGGTCGGAGTACTCACATTACTCCCTGCACCGTGTATGCAGATTTAGGCATCACTGAGTCCGCTCCTGGGGCTGATCTTCCCCTCCAGGCAGTGTTTCGTAGATCACGAGGTAACTGTTGGCGTCTGCATCCCCCATGCCCCCCTTATCTTATCATTTTCATGTCCTTAGAACTATTGTATCGGGTTTAGTGATTAGTAGACTGTCTCAGGATTTCTCTTAGTTGCTCATGACTTGTGACACCCCAGCTTGGGCTGTGTCAAAATGGTTCTTACTGAGGTTATCGTTAATTCTGCAAATTATGGATATTATATCATGCTTTAGAACNCGCGGATCAGTACGGAGACGTCTGTATTTATCCTCGAGAGGCTACAGAAACGTTTTAGGAAAATCTTTATATTCTTTAAATTCTTGTCGTGTGACCTTGTTGATCCGAGAACTAAACTTCTATTATTCTATTCTCTCACAGATGGTGAGGATGTGAGCTACCGGACGAGGTAGACGACTACCAGTGCCACCCACTGATGCCACCAGGGGTCGTGGATGCGATCATGGTCGTGGCAGAGGCAGAGCAGCGAGGGCAGCACCCATTGATCCACCAGCTGCCCCAGCTCTGGATCAGGCTCCAGCAGTACCAATTCAGGCACCAACTGTGCCCATCGTGATCCCGGGTCTATAGGAGGCCTTGGCACAGATCTTGACAGTTTGCACTAGCTTGGCTCAGCCAGTTTCAGCCACCACAGCAGCAACAACTACTTCACAAGCCGGGGGATGCAATCAGACCCCCGCTGCTCGCATACCTGAGTAGGTAATGCAGGGACTACAAACACCGGGGGCACCTCCAACCCAACCGGTTGTGCCAGCTCAGGAGTTCATAGTACCTGTTATGGAGGATGAGCAGCGTCATCTTGAGAGGTTTGGTAGACTCCAGCCTCCGTCATTCAGTGGTGTTGAGGGCGAGGATGCCCAGGGTTTTCTTGGTAAGTGTCAGCAGATGCTCCGTATAGTAGGGATTCTTGAGACTAGTGGTGTGGCATTTACCACCTTTCAGTTTACT